TTTTAATATGAGAGCTATGTTTGCATTATAAAATGTATTAGGAAGTTTTCCATCCTCTTTTATATTCTGGAATAATTAGAGTAAAATTGGCAGCAGCTCTTCTCTGAATGTTTGGTAAAACTCACCAGTGAAGCCATCTGGGCCTGGACTTCTTTTGGTTGGTAGTTTTTTGATGACCTGGTCAATTATTCTTTTGTTATGTGTCTGTTCAAGTTTTCTACTTCAGTCTCTGTAAGTTTCGGTAGGGTATATTTTTCTTAAAATGTATCTATCTCTTCTAAGTTTTCAAATTTGTTGGCATACAACTCTTCATAATAGTCTGTTGCTATCGTTTTGATTTACTTTGGTTCCGTTGTGACATTGCCAATGTGGTTTCTGATGCATGTTTTTTGTGTCTTCTCCCTCTTTTCTTTTGTTAGGTTTGCCAATGGTTAGTCAATTTTGTTAATCCTTTTCAAAGAACCAGCTTCTTTTCCTGTTGATTTTTTCCATACTTTTTCTGCTTTCTTTCTCATTTATTTCTGCTTTAATCTTTTCTCTTTATTTTCCCCTTTGGTAACTAGTTTCCTTTTGTTTGTCTGTTTCTAATTGTTGGAGATATTGTTTTAATGTGCTAAATTTTGCTTCTTTTTCCTTTTAGGATGTGTGCATTTACTGCAATATATTGTCCTCTCAGCACCATTTTTGATTGTCACAAGGATTTTGGTATGCGGCATATTTATTCTCATTTGTTTCTACAAAATTTGTGAGTTCACATTTTATTTCTTCTACTACCCAGTTGCTTTTCAGCAGGGTGTTATTCAGTTTCCATGTATTCGACTTTAAATCCTTGGTTTTCTTATTGTTGATTCCAAGTTTTGTAGCTTTGTGGACTGAAAAGATGCTTTGTAATGTGTTTGTATATTTGTAATATATTTGTGTATTTATGAAGGATTGTTTTGTGGCCTAAATACATGGTCAAATCTGGAGAATATTCCATGTGCACTAGAAAAGAATGTGTATTTTGCGGTTGTATAGTTGAATGCTCTGTACATATCTATGAGGTAAAATTTGTTGATTGTGCTGTTTAGTTCTTCTTTATATTTGTTGAGTTTCTTTTTGGTGTTCGATTTCTTTTGATTGTGGCATATTAAAATCTCCCATTATAATTGTAAATATGTCTATTTCTTTCTTTAATTCTAGTAGGGTTTGCTTTCTATACCTATGTGCTCTTTCATTGGAAGCGTAGATATTTATAATGGTTATGTCATCTTGCTCAGTTGTCCCTTTGATCATGAGATGAGTGTCCTTCTTTATCTCTTGTGATGGTTTTTGCCTTAAAGTTTATTTTTATCAAAGATTAATATTGCCACTCCTGCTCATTTTTGGTTGCAATTAGCTTGATACATATTTTTTTCCCATCCTTTAACTTTAAGTTTGGTTTTAAATCTGTGTGTAAGGTGTGTGTGTTGCAGGCAGCATATTGAAGGGACTTGTTTTCTTATCCATTCTGCTACTCTTTCTCTTCACTGGTGCATATAATACATTGACCTTCTATCTAATTATCAATAAGTATGAATTAATTTCTGTTATTATGTTAGTTTCTTTTTTTGTGTGTGTGGTGCTGCTCGTTCCTTTGCTCTGCATGCATTCTTGTGCTGAGTTCATGCTTTTTTTGTGTGTGTGCTATTTCTTATTAGTTTCTTCTTAGTTTTAAAGTTTCCATATTCTACTTGGATCTTCATTTTCATTGTATGTTGCAAAGTATTAACTTTCTTTGATGTTACCCTATAGCCTACTAACTTTTCCTTCCATTTAAGACAGTCTATTGTATCCTGAAATCTACCTGACATGCTTACCAGCTGGGTGTCTGTTCCTATAATTTTCCCATCTTTGACATTGTCATTATTTTGATCTTTGATTGATGTCTCAGGTCCTCTGAACTCATTGTAATTTTGTTCTCTTCTGAACTCTGCTGTCAGCTGAGTTTTGGGTGGTGTTGCCACGTGTGTCAATCTCTGGTTGTTGCCTGTTCTTGTTGTTGGTTTTCAGTCCAAAGAAGTGCTTGGCTTGATTTGACAAAATGTCTTAGCTTCTGTTTATCCTGGAATGTTTTGATTGCACTATTGTATTTGATGGACAGCTTTACTGGGTAGGAAATTCTTGGTTGGCAGTTTTTTGTTTTTTGTTTTTCTTTTAGGTCTTTATATATGTCTCATCATTGCCTTCTTACCTGCATGGTTTCTGTTGAGAGGTCAGAGCTGAATCTGATTTGCTTGCCTTTGTAAGTAACACTTCTCTTTTCTCTGGTTGCTTTTAGGATTCTTTCTTTGTGTTTGAATTTGGACAGGTTGATTCTGATATATCTTGGTGATTTTCTTTTGAGGACTATCCTTCCTGTCATTCATTCAGCTTTTTGAATTCTTACTTGCTCATCCTTCAAGATGTTAGGGAAAGTTTCTTTCAGAAGTTCCCACAATCTCCTTTGTGGATTTCTGGGATTCTTCCTGTTCTGGAATGCCAATAATTCTTAAGTTATTTATCTTCATGGTATCCAACATCAGTCTTAGACTCTCTTAAGATTTTCTTTATCCTTTTTTTCTGCTTGATTTTCTATCTTAGCAGTATTGAGAGATTTGTCTTCCAGCTTACTGGTTCTGGCTTCATCTCTTCAATTCTACTCCTTTGCCTTTTCTGTGTATTTTCCATTTCTGATATTTTATTATTGATCATCTGCACCTCTTTTTGCAGGTTTTGAAAGGTATCCAATGCTATATCTATCTTGTTTTATTGCTCCTTTAGCACTTTTCTGAGTTCTTCTTTATCTTCCTTCACCTCTCTGTGAAGTCTTTGGATTTGTCTCCATATCATTCATCTGAATTCCTAGTCAGGCAAATCCAAAGCCTCTTCTAGGAAGTTTATTTCTGCCTCTATCTCATTTGTCTCAGTTACCCTTTTCTGTTTCTGGACATGTATTAAGATGTTTTATTGTTTTCTTCTTGGATATTTTCAATAGTTAGATGAGTTTTCAATGATTAAATTGATGTATGGTGTCATAATGTTCATCTTACTGAGCGTCTTCAAGTCTATTTACTCAACTTCAAGCTAGCTTAGCTAGTGTTGGCTATCTATATAATCCGTAGGAGTTGGTATTAGCTCCTGTCCGGATAGTGGGATATCATGGGGTGTGCTTGTAACTTGGCTATATGACCACAATTGCCATCTCTTCTTGGGTAGTGTAGGAGAGAAAACTCCCACCCCCAGGAAAAAGGTAAGACCAAAAAACCATAGACCAGCACACAAAAAGAAAAACAGAACTGTAGCAGATTGTCTAGTAGCTTTTGCTGTGCAGGTTAATGTGCATGCACAGTAGAATCCTCCAGTAGTGGATTGGGGTGTCCACTAATTCAGGGGCCCCCTCTAGGCACTTCAATGGTAGTGCACAGATAGATATTGAGGAATGAATGGGGAAGAAAGATTGTCCACAATTTTTATCTTTGAGTGTCATTTAGGTATCTGCACATGCACAGCGTAATTCTCAAAATGACTGCATGCTTTTATATAGTAGTTTATATTGACTCTTGCCTTTTACGTTGGGGTTTTACAAGATGCAAATTTGGTTTAGCGATATGGGCAGACCTGCTATCACTTGTTAAATAAAGCAGGAATAAAGGGTCCTGTCCAAGTAGAAGAGTCAACTTTATGACAAAATCCCAGAGTCAGATGTCATAAGAAGCATCCAAAGGGTTAGCTTCTGGTACCTCTGGGGCTTTCAGGGATTTCTTCTTCGTACCATGCAAAAATTGTACCCTGTGGTCATAATGTTGGATCCTTTGGGGTTGCACTCCCATCTGCTGGCAATTGCCCAGGCTGGACAGAGAGGGTGCAACAGTGGAGAGAAGGAAAGAAAAGTAAAAAATTTTGTCACACTTCTTTTTCCACCAGTCACTTGTGGCTTTGGCATTGTATCAGCCTGGCTGTGGTCCTTCCCTCTGATATCCATGCATGCAGAGTCCTGATTGATTCAGAAATCGCCATACAATTCCACCACAGTCAGGTTTCTCTACTGGTAGGGTCCCAAAACTGCTTCTCCTGCAGTTTATGTTAGATCTATAGCTCTGGAACTGTCCTAGCAAAGCATCTTCTGTGTTTTTTCTTTCTTTCTTTTTTTTTTTTTTTCTGCACCACTGCCAAGGAGTCTCTGCTGCCTGTCCCAATGGTTCTTGATCATCTGCTACCTCTTGAAATGGTTGAACATTGACCATTTTTTTTCCTGGCACAGCACCTCTGTGTATTCCATCTCTCTTCTTTTCATACTTTCTGCATCATTCAATATTTTGCCCACTGTTTATATGTGCTGTGGAGTTGGTTCTTCCTCATAGTGACCTTGTACAGGGTATCTGAGGCTGTAAATCTTTAGGGGAGCAGAAAGCCTCATCTTTCTCCTGTGGAACAGCTGTTAGTTTCAAACTGCTGACCCCGAGGTTTGAAATCCGATTCATAAACACTACGCTATCAGATCTTCTTTTTGCTCAAAGACTCCTTCAATATTGCAATCTGAGGCTATAATTTTTTCCTTAGTTCTTTCAGCTTGAGAAATGCTGTGCATGTTCACCCCTTCTGGCTTCATAATTCCACTTTTTTTTTTTTTATTATAATACTTTACTTCATATTCAAGAGCTGTCTTTTAAAATTTTTCTGTTCCGCTCATTTACTTCATCATTTCTTCCATTTGTTTTAACATCTATACACTGGAAAGCAAGTTTCAGAGACTCTGTTGACATCCATTGTGGTCTTTTCTTTCTTTTTTTCTTCTGAATGGCCTTTTTTGTATATACACACAGAGTGTATCACTTGTATACACCTCTAGCATGGAATGTAATTATTCACAATAGAGAAAAAGAGGAAGATCAGACTCTGAGGTTGCTGGTTGGGAGAGGACAGGAAACCTCAGAGTAAAGCAGGAAATGTCTTCTTCATCATACTCTGCTCTTCTCCAGAGAAAGGGACACATTTAAGAGTCATCCTGAGTTTTTGTGCAGGAGAACCCTTGGGTTATGATTGTGTGTTATTCGTGCACAGTAATATGTTCCTGTTTCTCCAGGGCCCATGTTGGTCATAGTTAGAAACACCTGGCTTTTAGAGGTGTCTTTGGAGATTGTAAGCCGGCTCTTCAAAGATGGGTGGTAATACTTATCATCATCCCACCATATGTTTGCAAGCCACTCTAGTGACTTCCCTGGGAGTTGACGAACCCAGCTAACACCAATACCACTGCTGAATGAGAACCCAGAGAAGGTGCAGGTCAGAGACAGGGTCTGGGTGGGTTTCATCAGTCCAGGACCAGACTCCTTCAGGATGATCTGGGAAAGAACCACTGTGGAAAAAGCACAATGATAAAGTGATGCCACTTCAAGAAGATAAGAATCTTTTCACCCTTGTAGAATTCTCTGCCCAGAACACTCACAGGAAGGGATGGTCAGCAGCAGGAGAGTGGAACAAAGCATGTCCATGTTGGAGCACAGTAGTCACTGATGCAAGGCCAGGACTCAGCTTTTCAACACAAGAGAGGGTGGGGCTGATGGAAATTTGCATTTCCCTTTAAACAGGCCCTGACTTTATAGCCTGAGCCCACATTTCATGATGCAGAAGGGGAATGAGTCTGTGATGAAAGAGTAGTGATCTTTAGGAATGGACTACAATGCCTTGTTCTCTCTTATGGAAACCTTCTCCACTGCAAGTCCATGGTCTTAGGACAGGCTGTGAAACTATAGTTAAAACATAGTGTACTGTCCTTGAAAGTATACTTAGGGATATTATCTCTTTGATTCCTGTTCTAGAAGTGTATGTTGTATATCAAAATTGTTATTGTTAGGTGCCATTGAGTTGATATTGACTCATAGTTACCCTCTGTACAACAGAATGAAACACTGCCTGGTCCTGCACAAACCTCACAATCATTGCTACATTCAAGCCCATAGCTGCCTGGACCTTCACCAACCTCATAATTGCTGCTACATTTGTGTCCATCGTTGCTACCATGGTGACAATCCATCTCATTGGGGGTCTTCCTCTTTTACTTTGACCCTCTTTTCACCAAACATGATATCCTTCTCCAGGGACTGGTACCTCCTGACAATAAGTCTGAAGTATGAGAGAGGAAGTCTGGCTGTCTTGGCTTCCAGGGAGTATTCTGCCTGTTGGTCTTCCAACACCAATTTGCTTGCTCATGGTACTTTTAATATTCTCTTTCAAATTAGTATCCAAAAGATGCTAGCCCTTTGATTACTACTCTAGAAGAGCATGACAAGATATCATTATTGTTGTTGTTGTTGTGTGTCGTGGAGTCAGTTCCAACTCATAGCGACCCTGTACAGGGTTTCCAATATCATGATAAAAGGATATTGTTCTTGCTTTCAAGAAGCAGAGCAGTGTGTGATTTGGGAGAGTTGAGGTTATTCCCAGTGCTCTTTTATCCTCTCTGTGATAAGAAACGAGGGGGAGAGAGGAACATATCATGAATCAAGTCACCAATAGTCTAAAAACAATGTATTAAACAATCTACTACCAACCTGTGCTATCCATGATATATGCTCCTGAGTGTGTAATCCAGCTTGTGATTGTGTTCACTGAGTTCTTGGGACAGATGAATGCTAGCTGCTCCCTCCCCCCTTCTCATTCCATGATCAAGTAGACATTTTAAACAGCTAGAGCAGAGGATTCACAAAGGAAGTCTGCTGACAGCAATGTCTCTCCCAGCCCCTCTCTACAGGTGCAGTGGAATTGATTTCCATATTTATAGGGAACTAGAGACTTCCTCAAGCCCATATTTTATTCATTGCTACATACAGTGAGTAGGAGAGAGATGATGCTTTCTACTCTCACAAAGCTTTGTTGTTGTTGTTAAGTGCCATTGGGTCAGTTCTGACTCATAGTGACTGTCTATAGATATCCAACAAATGGCTGGTGGGCTTGAAAAGCTGACTTTGCAGTTAGCATTCCAGTAATTACCTTACAGTGACACATCAGGACACCAAAAGTTTATAGCTCTGGAAACTCTATACAGAGTTGCTATCAGTTGGAATTTACTCAATGATCCTTAGCAGCAACAATAACAGCATCCAGTAATGTACAGAAATTGAACATTTTAGAGACTCCTGGTCTGGTGCTATAGGATAAGCACTGGACTGTGAACCAAAAGGTCAGTGGTTCAGCAGTTCAAACACACCAGTTGCTCCTTGAAAACCCTATAAAGGGTCACTATCAGTTGGAACCAACTTGATGGCACTTAAGAACAACAAAAGCAGAACTACACAGTCCTCTAGTTGTTTCTCCATGATGCCCTTCTGAGCTCTATGATTTGGTAGAACTTAATTGTTTTAAGTATTTCTGTAAAATTGGATCAATGCTTACCTCATAGACATATTGTAAGGCCATAGTCCAGCGATCATTTAAAGATATATGGTTTACACTTTGGCTGCATTATTGAGTGTTGTGGTTGCCAAAATCAGAAAAACATGATTAGTTTATTGACCACATACTGTCCTCTTTTAGTCAGAGAAGACACTGGGAGAAGGCCTAGCACACTGATCAAAAGGAGCTCTGTGTCATAGATAAAATCCCTGAGCTTCTTACTTGCTATTTTTACAAAAGCTCAACTCCAACTGACTTTACATAATCTTCACTCTATTAATGACTCAGAATGTTAGGGAAGTTTAATTTGGCATAAATTTGGTTACAGACTCAATCGATGATAGGGAATATGCTTAACATATATTTCTATTATATGTCATCTGGTACATGAGATAGTATGTGATCAAGAATTGATGGTATTGAAGGAAGAAGTCTAAGCTGTACTGAAGGCATTGTTGAAAAGAAGGGCTCCAGGAATTGATAGGATATACATTGAAATAGTTCAACAAAATGATGCAGCACTGGAGGCTCTCATTAATCTATGCCAAGAAATTTAGAGCACAGCTACCTGTGGAACGAATTGGAAGAGATCATTATCTGTTCCCATTTCAAAGAGGGGAACCAATGGAATGTGGAAACCAAACAAATCACTAATATCACATATAAATAAAAATTTTTAAAAGGTAATTCAAAACTTCTGCAGCAGTACATCAATATGTTACTGCCAAAAACACAGCTGGATTATAAAGCAGACAAGGAAATAGTAATATTATTATTGACATCAGATGAATCTTGGCTGAAATCAGGGACTTCTAGAACGATGTTTAGTTGTGCTTTATTAACTATGCAAAGGATTTTGACTGTGTGGACAAGCTATGGATAACATTGGGAAGAATGAGAATTCTAGAACACTTGATTGTGCTCATGAGGAACCTGTACCTAGACCAAGAGGAGGTCATTTGAACAGAACAAGGGAACACTGAATGGTTTAAAATTAGGAAAGGTGTGCACCAGAGTGGTATTATTTCACCATACATATTCAATCTGTATGCTGAGGAAACAATCTGAGAAGCTGAATTATATAGAGAAGAACGTGGCATCAGAATTGAAGGAAGATTCATTAACAACATTCAATATGCAATTAGGACTGGATTGCTATAGCAAATAGGATTTAAAATACTTATTGATGAAGATCAAAGACGACAGACTTCAGTGTGGCTTACACATATATGTAAAGAAAACAAAAGTACTCATAACTGGATCAATGAATAACATCATGATAATGGAAAATTAAAGTTTTCAAATATTTCATTTTGCTTGGTTATACAATCAATACTCATGTAAGCAGCAGCCAATAAATCATATGACATATTGCAGAAGGCAAATCTGCTGCTCACTACCTCTTTACAGTGGTCAAGAGCAAAACATCAGTTTGAGGACTAAGGTGTGGCTGATTCACAGAATTTTCAATTCCCTCTTGTTTACGTGAAAGTTGAGCATGAAGAATATTGAACATGCTGTAGACTGTCAGAAGAAAAATTAAATCTGTCTTGGAAGAAGAACAGTTAGAATGCTCCTTAGAAGCCAGGATGGTAAGACTTAATCTGTTATTCTTCAGGCATGCTATCAGAAACGGAGAGTCACTGAAGAATTCATTGTGCTTGGTAAAGTGGAGAATCAGCAAAAAAGAGGACAATCTCCAATGAGATGGACTGACACATTGGCAGCAGCAATGGGATCAAGCAAAGTTATAAAGATGATGCAAAACCCATGTTTCTCCCTGTTGTGGTATACATCGGAACTGACTCCATGGCACCTAAGAATAACAATATATGTCACTTAATTGAAAAAGTTGAATTTTAAAAAGAAAACCTGGTGCTATTATCCAAAGTTGGAGGAATTTCAATGTAAAAGAAAGCTGCCATTTTCCATGCAACATGACCTTCCTAAGGTATATGTGCCTGCACACACATACACACACACTTCCCACAAGTGTGTCTGAACATATGCAAAGCCTGATACAAATATAACTCATTGCATCTTCATTTTGAAATAAAGCTTTTTCTGAGAAAGATATAGCTGTCTCCTATACTACAAAAATACCACCTTCAACTTTTCAAAGGAAAAACTTCATTTACTTATGGAGGCAACACAGAAATCTAAAGATTTTGAGTGATGGCCAAATTTAGGCTAATTTCCCCATCCATTCCAGCTGCTGAACATGTCTATACATAGCAATATTCTATAATACTACAATTTACTATTACTTCAGACCAGCATGCCTCATATACAGTCATATGGTGTCTTAGTTAGTGATTCTAACCATGTTTGCATTCTTTTTTTTCTAACAAGAGTTAAAGAATGGAGCACAGAGATAATAATGGATCACCAGGTATAGTAAGTAGTATGCATACACAGCATCCATATATGGATGGTCATTCACAAGATGATGCAGTGAGGTCCACCCACCTTAAGTTTATTGAATAGTTTTATCAGCCTAAAGACCCACCTGGTCTTTCCTGAACTCAAGCCAGGGAGTAGTTATGTGGAGTGACCAAACAAACATTAATAAGGAACTCTGAGTGTTGTACTGCATGGTGATCACAAATGTATATACAGATCTAATAGTACTTGAGGTTTATGCATAAAATGTGTGACTTTAGATGAGCTAAACTAAGGCCCTTCTATATTATTATTATTACAGAACAAATTGAATAAAATGCACTCACAAAACATATACACACATACATATGCACTAATGCATACATATTGCCATGTACAATGCAATGCACACACTAATGCAAACACACACACACACTAATTCACAGGCTCACATTTTAATCACAAACTAACACACAGTAACATACTCACACACATTAGCACACACTAACATACAGTAATGCACACATTAGCACACACATTGGCACACACTAATAAACATACTTAACAATACACATGCACACTAAAACATAAACATACATTAACACACAAGTTCACTCATAAAGAAACACGCACAATAAGACACACTGGCATTTAAACAATCAAAGAAACACAGACATTAGCGCATATGCTATTAAATACATAATGTTATTGTTATGTG